CACTTGCCCGCCGTAGCGGAGCCTCTCTTTCCCCACCTGCGGGGGAGCGGGGGGGAGGGGGGGGACGCGAGGTTGGGGCGAGCTGACCCGCCAGTTGGAAGGCTCCCAAGAGGGGGTGCCTCGGTGACCTGGGATCTGGGCTGCTTTGGGGATCGGCCTTGGGCGAACTCGCCCTGGCTCCCGGCACTCACACTCCAGCGGGGAAGAGCCAGGGGAATCCTGGGGGGCCTCTTGGAGGAGGTGACCTTTGACACATTGGGGAACAGCATTCCAACAGCAGGAGAACCCGGAGTGCGATGAGGAGGGGGGACAGGATACCTGGAGCCTCCAGGAGGAGGGAGGGGAGGGAACACCTCGGGCAGGAAGCATGCAGCAGGCTGCCGGCCCTCCTCAAGGCAGTGAGGCCGGGCCGGGGTGAGCGTCTTACCTCCCAAGGACTTAGAGAATGACTTTGACTCACCACATCTGGGGCCCCTCCACCCGGGCCAAACCTCCCCGTTCAGCCTCATTCGCACCCCCACTTGCTGAGGCCCCTCTGCCTCCCTGTGGTGTCCCCGACACCTGGCCTCACAGATCCAGGCGCTCGAGGCCTCCAGCCCCTAAAAGAGGCACCACCGCCCCTCCAGCTGGCAGCACCTGAGGCAGGACCCCCGAGTGTGACCCAGGGACGCCCCAACTAGCAGCACCTGAGGCAGGACCCCCGAGCGTGACCCAGGGACGCCCCAACTAGCAGCACCTGAGGCAGGACCCCCGAGCGTGACCCAGGGACGCCCCAACTAGCAGCACCTGAGGCAGGACCCCCGAGCGTGACCCAGGGACGCCCCAACTAGCAGCACCTGAGGCAGGACCCCCGAGCGTGACACAGCAAAACCAGCCCCTGCCTGAGCCGCCTGCGTGGTTTTCTGAGCAACCACAGTCCTCCCCAGCCAGCTTCCTGCTCAGCCAGGGAGTCTAGCTCAGCAGAAGGGAGGGGTGGAGGCGTGGGAACCCCACTTCTGAGACCATGGAACCGGGTGGGCAGGAGCTGTTCAGGGTCCTGGACGATTACACCTCGGGCGGCACCTTCCAGGGCAGCGGCTGGACAGGCCCATCCTGACGGGCGTGTGGCCGTCACTCCCCCGGGAGGCTACCTTCCCGGGGTCCGCAGCCCATGCCCTGGGGGCCCGTGTGGACCTGGGCTGGGGCTGAGCCCTGCAGGGGACCCCGCTGCACCCCAAGGCCCACGGACGGCTTGGCGGGAGGGAGCCTCGGGCCAGGCTGTGGGATGGGCTGGGAGGCCCTGGGGGCTCACCTCGCGGCTGGATAGAGACGGGGTGAGGACCAGGGCGGCAGGTGCCACAGGGTCTCAGACGGGAGACCACAGGCGGCCACCTTCCCCAGAGACGGGGCCCGAGACGATTGTGTCCACACAGGAGTCCAGGGGGGTTGGACTGAGGGACGGGCATGGATGTGAAAGCCCAGGCTTGGCCCTGGAGCAGTGGGGGCTCCTGGGTCGGGGTCCCCGGGAGGTGCTCCAGGAGGGGCGGGGGGTCGGGATCGTGAAACTGGAGCCGTCCAGTCACACCTGGGCACGGTCCCCAGGGACAGTGTCCCTCCCGGGCCTCCCTGGCCTCGCACCCGCCAGCAGCCAGCCCAGCCCAGCGTGCCTGTCCCTCCGTGCCCAGGCTGGTGCCAGGCCTCTTTGGTCCCAGACCCCGCCGCAGGGGCAGCAGGTGGCATGGCCTCGGCTGGGGTGGCTTAGCCTCCAGGCAACCAGCTCCGGCACTAGCCAACCCCTGGCGCTCCGTTCTGGAAGGAGGCAGACCCAAGACATGCCAGCGCACGGGACAAGTGCTGAGGGCACAGGGCAGCCCTGGGGGTCTTCCTGGAGGTGGAGTCACAGATGAGGATGGCCAGATGGTGTGTGCGCACATACACCCTAGCATGTGCACACATGACTGCTCCCTCAGCTCAGCTGCCAAGGGGCTGGGAAGGCCAGGCAGAGGCTCTAGCACCCCCCCCCCACACACACACAGCGGGATGTGGGGAGAGGACCCAGTACTTGTCCCAATGAGGGGGGGGCGCGGCTGGTAGACAGGGGAGCGTCAGGGAGAAGGGGCCCCACAGGAGACACTGGCCTTCCTGCCCTGGCCCCGCCATGTGGGATGGGGTGCCTGACCCAGCGGCAGGGCTGTAGCCTTGGAGAAAGCCTGGGCCCTGGCCACGCCCCGTGTGCCCCCCACAGACGGTGAGAAGCTGAGCGGTGTGACGGACAGCCGGGGGGCCCGGGCTGCACTGTCCACGCAGAGGGCAGAGGACTCCAGCGAGAGTCGCGAGGAGGAGCAGGCGGTGAGCGGGGCCAGGGGCGAGCACCTGTGTTGTGCACACGGGACCCTGCGGCCACCGTGTGGGCTGTGTGCGTGGAGGGTGCGGCCCGGACGTGGGCACGCGTGGGCGTGGAGGCTGCACTCTGGGCCGTGCTGGGCAGGGGTGTGGTTATGGGACGTTTCCCAGCTCTGACCCTGTGCCCTTTCTCTCCTGTAGCCCAACAGCCAGGACCTGAACGCGCTGTTTTCTGGGGGAGCTGGAGGGCCGCCCCCCCTGAACTTCACACATCAAGCACCCCCCTGGCGGGAGGAGGTGAGCTCTGCAGCCTGCCTAGCCAGGGGGAGGGAAGGCTGGGGGGCGGTGTGGAAAGTAAGACCCCCTCCCCCCGCCCCCAGTACAAAGGGCAGGTGAACCTGCACGTGTTCGAGGACTGGTGCGGGGGCGCCGTGGGCCATCTGAGGAGGAACCTGCACTTCCCGCTGTTCCCTCACGTGAGTTGGGGGGGGGGTGCGGGGGACAGCTGGCTCCCGGGCGGGTTGAGGGGGCGCTGACATCAGAGCTCGCTGCCCCCAGACGCGCACCACCGTGAGGAAGCTGGCCGTGTCCCCCAAGTGGAAGAACTACGGACTCCGGATCTTCGGCTTCCTCCACCCGGCGAGAGATGGTGCGGGAGGCGGGCCAGGGGGCCGGGGCGTGAGGGGGGGCGACCCGAAGGCCCACAGCTCCTGAGCCCCGGCCTGTGCCCTAGGAGACGTCCAGTTCTCTGTGGCTTCCGACGACAACTCTGAGTTCTGGCTGAGCCCAAACGAGAGCCCGGCAGGTGCCCAGCTGGTGGCCTTTGTGGGCAAGGTACCCCCACTCCAGCCCTGGCCCCAGCCCTGCCCTCCATCCACACCTGCCTCTCCCCGCTGGGCTTCCTGTGGCCTCGTCCGTCTCCTCCAGCGTCTTAGGGACGGGGTGGGGTGGGACGGGGTGGGGATGGGGATGGTGGGGCTGGTGCTCCCATGGACCGGGTGACCCCCTCCACCCCCCAGACTGGCTCGGAGTGGACGGCGCCTGGAGAGTTCACCAAGTTCAGCTCCCAGACGTCCAAGCCCAGGCGGTGAGTGGCTAGGAGTGCGCGTGTGCATGTGTGCATGCGTGTGCATGAGGGTCTGGGTGACATCATGTGTGCATGTGTGTGCATGAGGGTCTGGGTGACATCACGTGTGCATGCATGTGCGTGAGGGTCTGGGTGACATCATGTGTGCATGAGGGCCTGGGTGACATCACGTGTGCATGCGTGTGCATGAGGGCCTGCGTGACATCACGCTGCATCCGGCTGCCCTGCACACCGCCATCCCCAAGGGGCAGGCCCGGAGCGCCGCCCCCGGGCTCCATCTGCCTGGGGTTCTTGGGGCGCAGCAGGCCTGGCCCCTGACTCCGCGTGTCCCCAGGCTCATGGCCTCCCGGAGGTACTACTTTGAGCTGCTGCACAAGCAGGACGACCAAGGCTCGGACCACGTGGAAGTGGGTGTGAGTGCGCCCCCCCCCCACCTCCCCTCCGACCACCATGCCCACCAAAGGGAAGATGCCTGTGGACTCCCAAGAGCTTCCTGTCTAGTTGGCATGGCAGCCACTTAGGGGCCTGGCAGGCAGCACTGCTGGGAGGCTGCCTGGAGGAGGTGGCCCATGCGTAGATGAGAGGTTCACAGGGAGACCCAGTGAGGGGAGGGTCCGGGGCGGGGTGCACCAGGAGCCCCCGGAGCATCCCGGACAGCCGCAAACCGCGGTGTGGAGAGAAGTGGGGGCTTGTGCGGGACCATGGGTCCCTGGTCTGGGGGTGGGGATGAAAGAGTGGCAGGACGCTGGCTGAGCATGACCTGAGTTGGGCCGCGTGTGACCTGCGTCGGGCTGAGTGTGACCTGAGTTGGGCCGGTGACCTGGTGGACCAGGGCGCCCCCCTCCCCAGCTCCGGGATGTCGCGGGTGTCTGGTGTATGTGGTGGGTGTCACCCAAGCTCAGCTCGGCTGAGACACAGGTTTGGGGTGACCTTGCAGAAGCTGGGGGGTGGGTAGTTGACAGGGCCCAGAGTGAGCTGGGAAGGGGAGAGGGCCCAGGACAGCCCCCAGGAACCCCAACTTGAGAGAAGTGGGGAGGGACAGGGTCTGCTAAGAAGACTGAGGAGCAGCTCCAGGAGAGGGGAGAGGGGGGCGAGCATGGCCCCCAGGAGAGCAGTGGCTGCAGGTGTGTGTGTGGGGGAACCATAGCCAGAGGTGAGGGAGCACTCTGGGTTTTAGGAAGGGCTTGAATGGGGCATGGGTGCCCTTAACTGTGCCAGGCCCCCAGTTTTCTGGGTCACCTGCAGCTTCCCTGCCCCTTCCCAGGACCCCTCGCCCATCCACCTCAGAGCTTCCTGCATCCTTGAAGGGGTGGCCCCCACTAGTTCCCCACTGCCCTGCCAGGGAAGCCCCATGCCTCACTGTCCAAGCCATGCTCCCCCCCACCCCACCCTCTGGCCCTGACCACCCTCTCCACCCCCAGTGGCGAGCCTTCCTGCCTGGCCTGAAGTTTGAGGTCATAGGCCCTGCTCACCTCTCCCTGTACACAGGTGCGAGTGGGTCTCTGGGGAGCCCGCGGGCTCCTGGGGGTGGTCCCTCTGGGGAGGGGTCGGGCTCCTGGTGGGTGGTCTCTGGGGAGGGGTCGGGCTCCTGGTGGGTGGTCTCTGGGGAGCCGGTGGGCTCCTGGTGGGTGGTCTCTCTGGGGTGGCCTCTAAGCAGGGAGGGGTGATGGGTTCTGGGGACCCCACACATCCCTCCGCCCCCAGATGAGTCCTCCCTGAAGATGGACCACGTGGCCCATGTCCCCCAGTCCCCAGCCAGCCACGTGGGGGGGCGCCTGCGGCCAGAGGAGCCCAGAGCCGACATGCTGAGGCCAGACCCCCGAGACACCTTCTTCCTCAGTGAGAGGGGGCCGTGGGG